CTGCCTCTCCCAGATCTGCTGGGAGAGGGTCAGTTATCTGGGGACTTAGAGGAAGTCACCCTGGGGGACCGATTGAGCCCACAGGAGCGGAGCGAGGTACAACAGCTGTTGAGGGAGAAGCAGGATATCTTCTCTAATGTATCTGGTTACACTCCTCTGGCCACTCACAGAGTAGACACCCCAGGGCAACTTCCCATGCGTCAGACCCCGTACCGCATCCCAGAAGCAGAACATGCACAAGGAGATCGATGAGATGCTCCAGCTGGGGGTGATTGAGCCCTCTGACAGCCCCTGGGCATCCCCAGTAGTGCTAGTACCAAAACGGGACGGCACGACCCGTTTTTGTGTAGACTACCGGAGATTGAATGAGAAGACGGTATCTGACGCCTATCCCATGCCCAGGATAGACGAACTACTGGACCGGATGGCGAGGGGGCACTATCTCACCACTATTGACTTGTGTAAGGGGTATTGGCAAATCCCCTTGGCACAAGACGCCATCCCTAAGTCGGCCTTTGTCACCCCATTCTGCGTGTACCAATTTAAGGTCATGCCGTTTGGGATGAAAAACGCCCCGGCTACTTTTCAGCGGATGGTGGACCGCCTCCTGGATGGGTTCCAAGATTATACCTGCGCTTACCTCGATGATATTGCCATTTTCAGCAATACCTGGCAGGAACACTTGACCCATATAGGAGCGGTCCTAGACAGGATTAGGGCCGCTGGTTTAACGCTGAAACCAGCCAAATGCAGCATAGGAATGGCTGAAGTACAATACCTCAGCCATCGGGTAGGATGCGGCAAGCAGAAGCCAGAACCAGCCAAAGTAGAGGCTGTAGCTCAATGGCCTACCCCTAGGACTAAGACTCAGGTATTAGCGTTCCTAGGAACGGCCGGGTACTACCGGAAATTTGTCCCGAACTATAGTGCCCTGGCCAAACCTCTCACTGACTTAACCCGTAAAAACCTTCCCCGCCAAGTGACCTGGACCCCGGAGTGTGAGTAGGCATTTCAGCTGTTGAAAGATGCATTGACCAATGCCCCTGTCTTGGCAGCTCCCAATCCAACTAAACATTTTCTTGTCCACACAGACGCTTCTATGTTTGGATTGGGAGCAGTACTGAGCCGATGGCGGAGAACATCCCGTGGCTTACATCAGCCGGAAGCTGTTACCTTCGAGAAGTAAGCTACGCCGCCATCGAGAAGGAATGCCTGGCTGTGGTGTGGGCCCTGAAGAAATTACAGCTGTATTTGTATGGGCAAGCTTTTTCCCTGCTCACGGATCACAACCCGTTAGTATGGCTAAACCGGGTGGCTGGGGACAATGCCAGGCCGCTGCGCTGGAGTCTGGCGCTGCAGCCCTTTCACTTTAATATCCAGTACCGCCCGGGTAAACAGAATGGAAACGCTGACGGGTTGTCAAGACAAACTGACCTAGAGAAATGATCCGTGAGCCTCCCCGGACATCCCCAAGCTGATCCGTGTTGGATCAGACTGTGTATGCCGGCTTGTGGGCAAGGGGGAGCAGTGTAGCGGATGGCACTGGGCTGTCCTGCAAATGTATTGTGAATGACTGCATTCGTGTGATCTGCTGTTGTTATATGTTTTTAAAAGAATTGTATTCCTCTGATTGTTCGGTAGTTTCATTCCCTTAGTTTATTCGAATGAAACTACCGAACAATCAGACCTCCCCTGTGTGAAGTGTGTCCTCAATTACCCGTTGCAACATTGTTGCGAACGGGTAATTGACAAGTTAAGTAGCCGTCCTTTGTTCTCGGGGGTGGCCGCCATTCGACAAACGAACACGTGGCGGCGGCCATTTTAAAACTCCCGAACAGCGGTGTTTTGCCGTCGAGTGTCTGGAACTCAAATCGGACACTCGAGTAGGCGAACACCGCTGAAACCTCCACAAGCCCGGTCCGTTCGGTTCCTAACTACCGAACGGCCCTTCGTTCGGTAGATAGAAAGAACCGAACGAGGGGATTCAGGCAAACTCTCCCAAGCCTCTATAGCTAGAGGCTTTCGTGTAGTTCCCTTATTCCAGGACCGACCGCAGGGCCCATTCGCATGGAACCACATTCGGCTGTCTCAGTTAGTGCGGTCGGTCATTTTATTCCCTCCATACATTTCCCGAACCCCTGGTCTGATCTTGGTGATTTTTGGATATGTTGTTCACCCAGATCAGGGCTATCCGGGGATGTAGGATTTAAAGAGGTACCCCTACATTTAGGGGTACATCCAGAAATGGGGGGAATTACTGTACTGGATAAAGGGATTATGATGCTGGCTGAGGGGAGGAGATGTGTGGGAGGTTACCAGGACAGGATTGGCTAATGTATTAATGATTGTAAATCCCTCCCTTGCATGGGAGCATGCTTTAAAAGGACACTGTGGATTAAAGCTTTCAGTTCTGCTCCTGAAACTGTGTGTCGTCCAGTTATTGGGATTTCTGTTGGGATATTGCTGTTATTTTACCTGCTGGAAACCTTGCCTGTGGATTTACTATTTACTTGTTCCTGAGCCTCACTTGGATTATAAGCGGAGATAACCTGGGGAACATTGCATCTCCGCTACACATGCATACAAAGACATACGGGCATACAGAGATATACAGACACATACATACATATGTTGTGCCTAATCATTAAATTCATGAAGCGCCAATATCAAAAAGCAATAATCAATTACCCTAAGGTTTTTAAAGAAATTGGTGTGCACCAAAACCCTATTCAGAATGAGTGAATAGAGTATTTGAGAAAGGGAAAGACACTGACATCAAGTACTTGTAAATAATCAATTTAAACTTTATTGACTAACAAAGGCTTAATTAATAAGTAATCATTCATCTTAAAATTCAGCTTAAAGGAACAGCTGAAAGAAACAGCTTAATAAAAATAGCTTAATACATCACCATAAGAGAGGCTTGCTGCATTCGACTGAGAGAACTTCTAAGCAGTCAGTCTTGAAGGGGACCCTCTCTTACTGGGAAATCAGAAGAACCAGCAATACGCGTCCGCATTACAGGTGGGTGGAACTCCAAACGAATGCCAGGTTTTCTAGTCTTTTATAAGAAACTTAATACTGAAAGGGGTGAATAGTCTGTACTTTTCCACCAAATCTTCTTATCAGTGCAGCCCAGCAAAAGACCTTGCAAAAGTGCTGGATGGGACCTGCAGCTGGCCAGACTTTCAGTCCCACAGCAATGCCATGCCATCACTGGGCACCAGTTGCGCTATGTGGTACACAGGGAGCAGGGCTATGGTGTCATTCATATCCCCTCCCCCTTCACACAGCCTGCGGCAGACACCAGTGTAGGAGGCTTTGGCGGAAAGCTGTAAGCAGTGCGCTTCCCTCCAGCCGGACAGCCTGACATTGCGCCCTAAGGGCGCATTAATTCTCTCCACTAGTGTCGCTATTATGCATACATTTACCGTATTCATTTACACATCCATACCTCAGGCATTTAAGTTATGTAAATATGACATAAGAGCTCTCTAATCAGTGTTATTATTACATATATTGTGCCCTTTAATTCTCTTTTCCATTTTTATTTGATTTAGTAATTGGCTTTCAACTTTCCGCCAATGCTGGCAGTCGGTGATCTCCAATATTTAGCTATTGTGAATTTCGCTGCCATTAGTGTTTATATAGATATAAATATAATAAAATCCATATTGTATTTTGTTATTTTATTTAGTTTTATGTGCAAAAGAAACACTTCTGGAGTTAAAGTAAGACATAGGCGTGCACAGCCAATTTTATGTGATTGCATGTGTGTAGAGGAGACCGGTTATGCTGTAGAGCAGGGTTGTCAAACATGCGGCCCCCCAGATGTTGCTGAACTACAACTCCCATGATTCTTTCAATGAAACAGATAGCCAGGGTATCATGGGAGTTGTAGTTCAGCAACATCTGGGGGGCCGCATGTTTGACAACCCTGCTGTAGAGTGTAAAGGGTCTGTTTGTGGTGTATAATATGTAGCTGGGGCCTGTACTGTATAGGTGTGTTTTTGGGCTGTATATTATATGTGTGTGTGTGTTTGTGTGTGTGTGTTTATAGGGCCTTTAGAGTGTGTGTGCCTAGTGGTGTGTTGCATTTGTAAAGACTGTATTTCGTGTATCTAGGAGTTGCAGGGAGTGGCATTGTGTGTATGCGTATAGGTGTTGTGCACATGTGTGTATTGGTATGGTAATAATAGGGGGTGTAGTGTGTGTTTAGGGGCACAGTGGGGGAATTGTGTGTGCATAGGGGCACAGTGGGTGCACAGGAGGTGTATATCGGCATAGTATGAATGCAGTGGTAAGGTGTTTATAGGGGTATAGAGTGTGTAATGCTTTTGTGTGTGTATGCAGTGTAATACATGTGTTTATAGGGAGTATAGAGTGTGTGTAGTGATTGAGTGCAGTGTATAGGGGGTATAGAGTGTGTGTAGTGATTGAGTGCAGTGTATAGGGGGTATAGAGTGTGTGTGAGTGCAGAGGATGTAGTGTGTATATAGGGGGTATAGTGTGTAGTGTGTACATAGGGGGTATAGTGTGTAGTGTGTATAGGTGCAGGGGGTGTAATGTTATGTGTAGGGGGTATAGTGTGCAGGTGCAGGGGGTGTAGTGTGTATGTATAGGGGGTATAGTGTGTCGGTGCAGTCGGTGTAGTGGGTATAGTGTGTAGGTGCAGGGGGTATAGTGGGTATAGTGTGTAGATGCAGGGGGTGTAGAGTTATGTATGGGGGTATAGTGTGTAGGTGCAGGGGTGTATATAAGGTGTATAGTGTGT